GCAGATAAAGTAACATAATATTTGCAAAACAATCCCAGTTCTTTGAAACTATAAACTTCATTAAAGTACTCATTCAAGTCCTGTCTTCAGTAAGAGGATAAAAATATTGTAGCAAGATTTTTTTCTCAGGTTTGGTTTGGTTTTTTTGTAAGGTGGTAGGGAATGTAGATTTCAGGAGGCCAAAGAAGACAAGGCCCAGAATTAGGGGTGCACTGGTAAAGATTTTCTTGGCTGATACTGACAGCCAGGTATTAACAAGCTGTATTGGCTGATACCTATCCAATAACCGATTTACAGGAATGCAGCCTGGAGCTTGGAGAGCAGCATCTGGCCGGTTAGTCTGTTGAGGCTAGGGCCATGGGGGAAGGAAAGGGTGATGAGTGGGGCGGGATTGAGGCCCCCATGGTGAGGGATGGAGTGGGACAGGAGTTGCCCAGCCAGGGCAGTGCATGTGACCCCTCTGGGAGCGGGATGGAGCTGCACATTCCTTGTCTGGGGGCTGCAGGGGGTGGAGGGGTGCAACTTTCTGATGCTGTGCACACTCCCGGTGGAGTTATGGGGGAGCCTGTGCCCCCCTGGATTCATGCTTGGGGTGGGGGCAGGCTGTGGACTCAGGGCTAGGAGCTGTACTGGCCTTTTCCTGGTGGTGGGAGCTGGACTCGGGGCAGGCAGGGGCGGGGCAGTGTGTGTGGCGGTGGCACTGGCAGGGGTGGCTATGGTGGGGCTACAGCGAATTTTGGGGTGGCCATAGCCCACCCTGTAGCCACCCCTCCCAGCGCTGCTGCCCCTGCCTGCCCTGAGCTCAGCCTCGGCCCAGCTCCCCCACCAGGAAGAGGCTGGCACAGCCCCTGGCTCCAAGCTTGCGATGGGTTGTCTGCCCTCAGCCTGCGCACAAATCTGGATGGGGGTTTATGCCCGTCCTGCTTCTCTCTGGGGTGAGTGCAGCGGTGGAGAACTGCCCCACCTACAGACTCCCTGGATGAGCCTCCTGCAACTCTGTCCCACTCCCAGCGGGGTTGCATTCACTGCCCTTGTTGGGTAGCGTCTGCCCCTGCCCCACTCCTTCCTTCACTGTGGGGGCCTTGATCTGTTCCTTCCCCATCCCCCTCCCCCCAAATGTCCCTTCCCCTCCACAGATTTACTGGCAGAAAACTGCTCCCCAAGCTGCAAGGCTGCACTCCTGACCAATGCATGCTGTGGCTGCACACATGCACGTGGCGTTTATCGGTGACATCAGCTACACTGGCTAAAAAAGGCCAATTGCTGATAATGTTAATTTTCCTTTTTTCGGTGCTGATCTGATATGCCACTGATATATCGGTGCACCTCTACACAGAATAATTAGCTTTGGAGGTGGAACTGAATAAGGGGAACATAGAGCATTTTTGAGGGATATTACAACATTGATGTGAAAGACTGAGAGAAGGTAGAAATAAGATGGTATTATAAAGTAAAACATTTTTTTCTTTACCTCACAAAAGAACAGAATAAGGCTACTAAGGTTCTTTATGGTGTATTGAGACTGTCAGGAGCTGTTATTTGCCAGTGGTTCTTCAGTTCTGTCAGAGATTACCCAAGCTTGCCATGAACACCTCTCTGTTGCTTGTGGTTATTGAGTTAATTTGTGCAGGGCTAGCTTAGTTTCATAGTTTTATAGTTGGTAGGGTCAGAAGGGACCTGAGCATATCATCAAGTCCGACCCCCTGCCATGGGCAGGAAAGAATACAGGAATAAAATTACCCCGGCTACATATCTATCTAGCCTCCTTTTGAAGACCCCCAGGGTAGGAGCGAGCACCACTTCTCTTGGAAGTTGGTTGCAGATCCTAGCTGCCCTGACTGTGAAGTAGTGCCTCCTGATACCTAGCCTGAATCTACTCTCCATCAGCTTATGGCTGTTATTCCTCGTTAGTCCCGGTAGTGCTCGGGGGAACAGGGACTCTCCCATTGCCTGCTGGTCCCCCTTGGTCAGTTTGTAGATGGCCACCAGATTCTGTCTCAGTCTTCTCTTGTGGAGGCTGAACAGGTTCAGGTCCCGTAGCCTCCCCTTGTAGGGCCTGCCTTGCTGCCCCCTGATCATGTGAGTGGCCCTCCTCTGGACCCTCTCGATGCAAGCTTAGAAGGCTAGTTAGTGAGGGGATGCAAGCCAAGAACATAGAGCAAATGGGGGTCCAGGAGGGTTGGAGGCATCTCAAGGGAGTGATCCTTGGGGCTCAAAAGGAGTTTATCCCATTACGTAGGAAGGGAGGTAAGGGGGCAAAAAAGCCCCCTTGGCTGAACGGGGAACTCCAGGAGAGTGGGGGCAAAGAAAGAGATGTATAGGCAATGGAAGCAGGGAGCAGCCACCAAGGAGGAATATATCTCCCTGGTGTGCTATTGCAGGGAATTAGTTAGACAGGCCAAGGCGGGGCTTGAGCTCAGGCTGGCTTCAACAATCAATAGTCCTTCAGGTATATAGCGGGCAATAAAAAGTCCTTCAGGTATATAGTGGGCAAAAGGAAAGCTCAGAACAACATAGGGCCCCTGCAGGACATATCAGGACAGTTGGTGGTTGACACTACGGTTAGTTCTGAAATAGTTAAGGAGCTCCTGGAAGAGCTGGATGGGTACAAGTCAGCAGGCCCGGATGACCTCCATCCACGGTTGCTGAAAGAATTGGCCAGTGTCATAGCTGAGCCACTGGCACAGGTGTTTGAGCACTCATGGTGCTCTGGCCAGGTCCCTGAGGACTGGAGAAGGGCCATTGTGGTGCCCATTTTTCAAGAAAGGGAGAAGGGATGAGCCGGGTAATTTTAGGCCAGTCACTCTTACCTCTATTCCTGGGAAAATGCTAGAGAAAATAATCAAAGAACACATTTGTGAAGGCCCAGCAGGGGAAACGATACTGAGGGGAAACCAGCACAGGTTTGTCACAGGTAGATCCTGCCTAACAAACCTTGTAGCCTTCTATGACCAGGTCACACACTGCCTGGATGTGGGCGCAGAGGCTGATGTCATCTTCCTGGACCTTAGGAAGGCCTTTGACACAGTTTCGCACCCTATTCTCATTGGGAAGCTAGCAGACTATGGAGTGGATGCCTACACAGTCAGGTGGGTGTCCAACTGGCTTAGGGACTGCACCCGGAGAGTGGTGGTGGATGGTTCCTTCTCGGCCTGGAGGGAGGTGGGCAGTGGGGTCCTGCAGGATTCGGTCCTCGGACTGATATTATTTGATAACTTCATCAGCGATTTGGATGAGGGTGTGGAGATCACCCTCTCCAAGTTCGCTGATGTTACCAAGTTATGGGGCAGAGTTAGTACACCCGAGGGCAGGGATCAGGTTCAGGCCGACCTGGACAGGTTGGATCAATGGGTAGAGAGAAATAGGATGCATTTGAATAAAGATAAATGTAAGGTACTCCACCTGGGAAGGAGGAATCCCCAGCACACCTATAGGTTGGGGAGTGTCCTTCTCAGCAGCTCGGACGGAGAGAGGGATCTTGGAGTCATAACTGACTCCACAATGAACATGAGCCAGCAGTGTAACGAGGCCATCAACAAGGCCAATCACACCTTGTCATGCATTAGCAGGTGCATGACTAACAGATCAAAAGAGGTGATGCTCCCCCTCTGTGCGGCACTAGTCAGGCCACAGTTGGAGTACTGTGTCCAGTTTTGGGTGCCACACTTCAAGAGGAATGCAGAGAATCTGGAGTGGGTCCAGAGGAGAGCCACTTGCATGATTAGTGGCCTTCATGATAGACCCTACGGGGGGGAGGTTGAGAGAGCTGAATCTCTTCAGCCTTCACAAGAGATGGCTGAGGGGAGATCTTGTGGCCACCTATAAATTTATTAGGGGAGGTCAATGGGGAATAGGGGAAGTGCTGTTTACTAAGGCACCCCAGGAAGTGACTAGGAATAATGGGTGTAAACTAGTTGAGAGTGGATTTAGGTTAGATATTAGGAAGACATTTTTCACAGTAAGGGTGGCCAGTTTCTGGAATGGGCTTCCAAGGGAGGTGGTGCTATCACCTAGCTTGGAGGTCTTCAAGAAGAAGCTAGATAGTCACCTGGCTGGGGTCATCTGACTTTGGTCCTCTTTCCTGGCAGGGGGTTGGACACGATGGTCCATTGTGGTCCCTTCCAACTCTACAATCTATGAATCTATGATGCTGTCCACATCCCTCCTGAAATGCAGTGCCCAGAACTAGATGCAGTACTCCAACTGCAGCCTGACCAATGTCGCATAGAGTGGGAGGATCACCTCCTTGGATCTGTTTGCGATGCATCTGTGGATGCATGACAAAGTGTGGTTAGCCTTCCTGACCTCGTCCCCACGTTGTCGGCCCATATTCATCTTGGAGTCAATGATGACTACAAAATCCTTTTCTGCCTCTGTGCTGATGAGAAGGGAGTTCCCCAGCCTGTAGGTATGCTGCTGGTTCTTCCTCCCCAGCTGGAATACCTTGCATTTGTCAGTATTGAAACCCATCCTGTTCTCATCCGCCCACCCATGTAACCTGTCCAGATCTGATTGCAGCCTGTCCCTCTCCTCTGGTGTGCCCACTTCTTCCCCACATCTTAGTGTTTGTTGTCTGCGAATTTGAACAAGGTGCTTTTCACCTGCTAGTCCAAGTTGCTGATGAAGATGTTGGACAATGCAGGACCGAGCCCTGGGGAACCCCACTGCCCACATCCCTCCAGGTCAAAAATGACCTGTCCACCACCACTCTCTGGGTGTGGCCCTGTAGCCAAATAGCGACCCACAGCTTGGCTGTGTCTGCATGATGCTGCCTTATACCATTTAGATAGACCACTTGTTCTCTTTCCTATTTGTCTGCATTAGGTGAAGCTGCCAGTCCTGGTTGCCTTTGAACTTGAAGCTTGTGAAACAGTGGCCCCAAATATCCATCATTGGTCCAAGGCATAATAATCTCTCTCATACTTCCTTATTAATGTAGTTTATTAAATAAAGTATTCTCTTTCCAAACCCTCTAGAAATGTACATGTCCTAGAAGTCTCTATAAGCAAGCCATCAGGATATTTCCCTTCTGATCTGGGGACCACGTGTTCTATCACATGGATAGAATTAACAGTTGGAGTAATGGAAATAATCCTCCAACATGGAGCAGCTCAAACAGGTTGTAGGTATGATTAGCTATGTGAGTTGATCCAACAAACAGCCGTTGTCCCCTGGTGGTTAGTTTGTCATTTTTGTGGTTGTCCTATTGCCAGGTTGCTTCTCTAGGCATTGAAGTTATCAGGTATAGTTATCTTGACAGATTTATTGCCATAGGAGAAAGAAACTTTACCAGGTGTTGGAGGGGTATCGTTATTTAGTGGGCTACATACATACCAATACTAGTCTTGCCTAAATCCTGTTTTGGGATGGTATACTATGTACATAAGACTGTATGCAAACAGCCATTCCACTTCTCTGGTCATCCCTCATTTCAGGTTACACTAAATGCTCACCAAAACGTGTGAATGGTGTTCATGTACTGTTGGCTGCCCAAGCTAGACAAGTGTAAAAAGTTGCTGGTTCTAAATAACATTTCAGTAGTTTACCTCTTATATAACCATAATTGGACTTTTGAGTGAAGAGGAACCCTGATGAGCTATAAGATTATAATTTAAAAATTGGCTTCAAAACACTTATTCTGCTGTGTGAAATGTTAAAAGATTATTATTAATTTGTGTTTTTACTATTCTAAGGAAATTCGGCATAACTCAAACGACCATCCTCATAGAGTTGCAAAATACCAGGAAAACAGAAATCGAAATAGATACAGAGATGTCAGCCCATGTAAGTATATTGCTTCAATGTAATCAAATGCATACTGAGTAGAGGTGCACAGATATATTGGCACCATATCAGACTGGCATCAATAAAAGGAAAATTAACACTATTGGCTATCAGCTTTTTTTTTTTTTTTTTTTTTGGCCAGTGTAGTCGATAATGTACCAATAAATATAACGTGCCTTCAGCACACGCGCACCTACAGCATGGATATGGCCAGGAATACAGCCAGGCTACATGGAGAGCAGTGCCCTGCAGGTAAGCCTGGGGGGGCATGGCAGATTGAGGTCCCCATGATGAGCGAGGGAGTGGGACAGGGGCTGGGGGCACTTCCCAGCCAGGGCAGTGAATGGAACCTGGGGCGGGGGAGTTGGGGGGGTGGGGGGTGAGGAGGGGGATAGTTCCCCACTGCTGCTGCTCACACCCCAGGGGGAGGCATGGGGGGGCATGTCGTTGTTGTCACCCCCCCCGGAATTGTGCATAGGGTGAATGCGGGCTGACCACTGTGGACTTGGGGTTGTTTACCCTGCTCCCTTTGCTGTGGGAGCCACACGCTGGCTGCATGTCCCTTGACCATCTGGCAGTGGTGGTGGTGGCAAGTTGTGCCTCTTGCTGCCTGATGGGCAGAGGATGCGTGGCCAGCGCATGGCTCCCGGGGCAAAGGCAGCAGAGTAGAGAGCCCCGAGTCTGCAGTGGGCAGTCCACATCTGCCCTCGTCCACTTGGCTCTGGTTAGAAGTGTCCCCATGCTTAAAAATGGTGGTGGTGGGTGGTGCTTGAACTAAAGCTCATTTGATGAGCTTTAGTTCAAGTACCCCCATTGCCATTTTAAAGCGCTGAGCCACTGATCCCCTGCCCTGGCCCTGGGGTCCCATTCACCACCCCCAGCCTCTCACCATGGGGGACTTGATCTGGCCCATTCCCCTCCTCAGACTTACCTGCAGGGTGCTGCTCTCCAAGTTTCCCCGGCTGCATTCCTGTAAATTGGTTATTGGATCAGTATCAGCCAATATGCTTGGTGAATAATTGGCTATCAGTACTTGCCAAGAAAATCTTTATTGGTGCACCCTTAATACTGAGGTAATAATTTGTTCTCATCTTTCTTTCCTCCCCACTTTGCTTATTTTTAAATGCACGTAAAACCTAGAATGCTTTGCATTGTGAAATAGTTTATTTTTGTAGAAATTATTTTATATACTAATTAAATTACTAAAATGCATATTGGTAGGAATAAATTTGATGCTGCTTAACATACCTGTGATTGGTGAATTGAGAGACAATATGTATGTGTGAGATGCAGGGAGTACAAAGCAAAAAGCTAACTTATGAGTTAGTGTAAGGGAATTTTATTCTTTTAAATTTGGTGTTTACCTCTTTAATTGGCTTCATTTTAAATTTTCAGGAAAAGTTAGGTTTTGACCTGCTAAATTTACTGCCCTTAAACTTATGCTTTAAAAAACTGCCCAGATTTGAGGGTTTAGCACTGAATAACCATCTGTCCGAGGCAAACCTGAACACTCCCGGCTTCTGTAGTCTCGTCCCATCTAGTTGATCAAAAGTCCCGGATCGGAGTCTAGCGGAGATGCAGAGCAGCATGGTTTCCCAAGTGTGCAGCCACCATGCAGCATGGTGTGCCAGGCAGGCGGCTGGGCTGGCACTGTTGCTTCTGGGTGGTAGGGCATGTAGACTGGAGCAGGCGGTCTGGGTATGATAGGTTAATGATTTGTAGATCATAGATTTCTAGAGTCAGAAGGGATCTGGTAGATGGTCAGGTCCGATCCCTGCTCCAGGCAGGAAAGAGCGCTGGGGTTAAGTAACCCCAGCCAGATGCCTGTCTAATCTCCTCTTGAACACCTCCAGGGTAGGGGAAAGCCCCCACCTCCCTTGGAAGCCCATTCCATATTTTGGCAACCCTTACCATAAAGAATGTCTTCCTTATGTCCAATCTAAATGTATTCTTCAGTTTGTGGTCAGTATTTCTGGTAACCCGAAGGGGTGCCCTGGTAAACAGTGTCCTCTATTCCTTGCTGGCCCCTCCAATGAGTTTGTAGGCACCCACAAGATCGCCTCTCAGCCTTCTCTTGCAGAGGCTGAAGAGATTTAGATTTGTCTGTCTTCATAGGGTCTTACCTGCAGGCCCTCAACCATACGAGTAGCCCTTCTCTGGACCCCCTCAAGGTTATCAACATCCCTCTTGAAGCGTGGCGTCCAAAACTGAACGCAGTACTCCCATCTGCGGCTTCACCGATACCTCATCGAGGGGAATTATCACTTCCCTAGACCTGCTTGTGATGCTTCTGCTGATGGAAGAAAGAGGGTGGTTAGGCTTTGATTCTCCTGCTGATGCAAGAAAGAATGCAGTTAGCCTTGCTTATTACCTCATCACACTGGCGACTTGCATTCGTTTTTGCATCAACCAGGATTCCGAGATCTCTTTCTGCTGTTGTGGTACTCGGAATGGTACCCCGCAGTCTATAGGCGTGTTGGAGATTTCACATTTTTCAGAGTAGCAGAGACTCGCAAGTTAGCTAAGTGTAATACACCTCAGGCTAGCAGGTATGGACTCATTGTTTCAGTGGCAAAACTGGAAATAGAGCACAAGTGAATGAGATTCTTGGGCCAGGATTTTTGTAGATAGATGCTCATTTTGAGAACGCAGTCCAAGACTCCTGGGGACTGAGTCCAAGAAATTCTGAGCTCCTGCATTTCCCATAGACAGCAAAAATAATGTGATAACTTCACGTGCTCAGCACTCTAGTTGGGTCATTCTTAGTTAGTAGCCTAGTAAATTTTGGCCTTAGTATTCTTGTGTTATTTCTTCCATAAAAATGTATATTCTTCATTTTTATTATGTACTGCAAAATCTTAAAGGAGATATGCGTGTGTAAAATATTAATATTTATTTGCACAATTTCTATTGCTAAGTTGATTCTCCTTTTTCAAAGAAATGCCTAAATGCCCCTATGGATGGATATAGATCTTGGAAAAGGTGTCTCTCGGTCTCATGATAAGCAGAAGCTTGTGGACCTTTATTACCAAACTGCTGAGGAGTATTAATTTATTTGATTTAAAATTTCACCTGTCCTGAATCTGCTATCTAACCCTTAACTCCCTTATCCCTTTCTGCATGATTAACCTGGGTCTATTTCCATGTCCCACAGAACTTTAAGATTCAGGTTATGTTTTGAAGCATTTCAAGTGTTCATACACAAAGTTGCACCAGGTCAGTTAAATCAGTTTAACATCATCTTCTGTTAAACCATTGTGAAACTTTTCTTGACAGAGAAACCTGAAACTTAGTGTTCTGATAATTTTATGCTTAAAAAAAAGTCACTGGTATGATTGAATGCTGTCCACCTTAGCCCTTAGTGCAGTTGAATTCTTGTAAGACAATGCACTTTTGGGAAGCTTTTTTTGTAATGGTGACAGGAAAAATTACAGCTGTTGATTTAAAAAATAAAAATAAAAAAAAGGGATGTAGCAGCCACCCATTTGGGCCAAGGGAGAGTGTTAAGGTAGAAACCAGGATGGAACTTCCTTTTATACTATGTACTTTAAAGACCTCATTGAACAAGTCCTTATGGACTTCCTGGAAGAGGAAGGTACTTACTGTTTTTCCTTTTTATTTTATAGAAAGGGTAATTCTGAGGTTGTGCAAGTCCAGTTAAGGCATACTCAGTCACAGCTGCACTTTTTCAGAAGGAATGTGTTAGATTTATGCTAATCAGTGTGTGTTGATTAGACCCTCTAGAATCAGCAACATTATTTTAAAATATAAGTCATAGATTTGTGGGGAAAGAGAATTATGTGGGAATAAAAGCCTTCTCAGGTTTGTAGGGTAAACTATAATTTTCTTGACAATTTATGTCTGTTGCACAACACTTTACTTCTGTTGACTTTACTTCCCATTGTACTGTGGGGTAAAGCCTGTTCATAAGACATAGGGGCCAGGATGTATATATAAAGTAACCTCAATCCTGATACCTTTTGAGTGTTTCACTTTGCAGCATTGCTCTTAAATTCACATAAAAGAAGTATGCTTCATGGTTAATGTGGCTGCTTTAACTTTGGCTATCAAGATCTTTAGTAAGGAGGTATTTGAATGATTTGAGTTTAAAAAAAAAAAGTTGCATTAACAGTTAATAGTGTTTTTAAAAAAAGGCCTTCCAACTCCCTGTTGGGTATCTAAAGTTGCTTGTTAGGGAAGTACAAGTCATTCTGGGTTGGAAATCTTTTAGCTTTCTAGGTTAGTATTTAAGGTATTCATTAACTGGACAAATGAATAAATGAATCCTAGCTTCTATGCTGTTGTGAACTTTGGCATGGCAATGCTGTGGAGTAATTGCAAGTGAAGAGAGAACTAATTTCTGAGGAAAATGAAAAATAAAGATTAGATATAATACAGGCATACCTTCCCACTATATCCAATATGAGATGTTAACACCCATCTAGGCCATAAGCAGTGAAACCTGTTGCCACATACATTTATGAATATTGGTATCTGACAGAAAAGTACTGATAGCTTTGAGGAAAAAGATGATGAAAACATGAGGCACAAGTCTGATCCAAACCACTGTAGTTAGTCTTTCTGTTGACTTAATTGGCCTTTGTAACATGGTATATGCCTTTAAGTTTCTCTTGTTGCTGCAGAGGAAGCATGTTTTAAACATCCAGATGGAAACAAAGGTAAAAGATAATCCCGATTGACAGTTTAAAACATAAGCAATTTAAACCCATTTGAATCTTCCTTTAAATACAGTTTGCAATAATGTACTATGTTATGGATTTTTTTTATTCATTTGCATCCAGTTTTGCTTGATAAATAACTTGGCCTTGAAAAAGCTTTAAAAATAATGCTAGCATTTTCTGATGCTAATAGAAAATATCTACTCTTGATTTTGATTGCTAATGTAATTACTTTAGAATAAAGAGAGGGATATTTTGACTCTATAGTAGTATTGAAACAGGAAGCTAATCTGAAATGTCAACTGAGTTCAGTATGAGAGCCAGTCATTTCCTGACAGATGAAACCATTTCTCAGAAAACACATTGTTAGGGGGAAGACAACATTTTGGACTACAATTCTTAATGGATATCTCTAATGAAATCTTTTTAAAAAAAAATCTCGGCATATTCTTCAGTTCTCCTTTAGAGTCAAAGGGCTAGGGTATAATGGGACTTAACTCTCTTGTCTCTGACTGGAAGCACTTTTACAAGTCTTAAGTGTCAGTGGTCAGAGTAGGATGATGGGATGCCAAAAATAGGCATCTTCACTTCAACCTACCCTCATTATAAAAAGCTGAGAAGTGGATTCCTATGGCCATATGTTGTAATGTTATATATAAATGTTTTCTTTCTTTTTTTTCTGTCTTTCTTTTAATTTGATAGTTTACACTATAAGCACTATGGGAATAAGCTAAGAAAGATGCTTCAAAAAGGTGTGATATTTGCCAGAATATAGAAAATAAATTTTAGTATTGGGTTGTGTGGCTTCTCCTCCCCTCCCCTTAGAAATGCTAAGCGCTCGCACATTCCACTGAAGTCAATGGGAGGAGTTGCTGGTTTTCAGCGTATTGTCATAACATGGTACGGTATAAGCAGGATCCTGTGCACTGCTTATTCTTCAGTTGTGGTTCCTCCCTTTGGGCCATAAGTCCTTCCTTCTCTTAAGACATCTCTAAAACTGTTGTTGGCAGTGTATTGGAACTGAGTAGCTTTGGTCTCTTCCAGCTAATCATTTAGCTTTTACTCTTGGAGGAGTAGTAGACTAGCTGTCAAATGGGTATCAGATAGGTAGCTGGGATGGATCAGTGTTTTCTGGGTGTTTCTTCTTCATATTTTTCTCTAATCCAGAAACCAGCACTTTACTCTCCTTGATGCTAATAGTGCCATTTTTGGTAAGCAAGAAGCATGCTGGCTAAACTTTTAGATAGTCATTAAAAGTTATACAGTGGTTTCACTTCTTCTGGAAACAACTCTTTTCAAATGGACCTCCTTTTTGTTAACCAGCTGTAAGAATGCCATAATACTAGGTGTCAGATCTTCTCCACTTCAGTCTATGCTAGAAGCAAATCATTTTATGTAATAGGGAGAGGGACTGACCACTGAAGACAATGGCATTTTTATCATGGATTTCAGTGGTTCAGGATTTTGTCCAGAGTGGGTAACAGAAGAGGTTGTTAATTTCAGTTGTGCTTGTTCTGGGTATGCATGCCTTCTTACTCAGAGGAGCCAGAATGAGAAGTGTGTTTTGGTTTTTTTTGTTTTTTGTTTGTGTTTTTTTTCATGGTTTCTACTTCCTGTTCAGACTGCATACTTTGGGAGAGAGCGATTCTAACATTAATTTTCCTGTCTAACTGTTGCTGTAACTATAGATTTTTCTTGTTGTATAATGGATGTGGAGTTGATTAAAACTGAGTTTAATTTTAAGTTTCCATTTTTAACATTGATATAATCTATTTAAAGTAAAAAATCTATAATAACTGGAAATGATTTACAAACTGGAGAGGGAGTTATCACTAATTCATTGTCAAAAACGGGTTTGTTACATTGATTTCAGTAAAGCAAGCCAGAACATGAATGAGATTTTTAGGTCATAGTGTCCTCCAGGAACTGCCCTCTTTGGAAGGAGAGGCGATTATACAAAAAAAACCCCTATTCCTATTTTTGCATTTATCTGTTAAGTTACTGAACATCTTAGTCTCAGGATTGCACTTCATTTTGGGGGAGGGAGTACCATTTTGGTACTTGGAAGGAGTACCAAGTTTCTTTTTATCACATTCTAAAAAAGAGCATTGCCCAGTTTTTTGTGTGTTTTAAAGGATTTGCTTTTTTAAAAAGAAATAACAGCTAATGTGAAAACCATGCAGTGTACATATTATAACATAAAACCTCTTTGGGGTCTTGCTGGTTATTTCTTATTTAAAATAATACAGCTGCTGTGGGGTGATTAAACTGTTAACAGTGCTTGCTGACATCATCTTTCCGAGAACACTAGTACCGGTATGTGTGATTTACTATAACAAGATCTTAAGTTTTTCCTGTTGGCAAATGACATGTAATATTTACAAAGGTTTTGGTTTTTGTCCAGCAGAAACATTTCAGATAAAGTGATACATGAAAGGAAACCTTATTAACGCTTTCATGTCAAGGCAAGATACTGTAAGGAGTTATTTACTTTTAAAGCAAATGTATTCAGTAAATAGTTCTCTTAAAAGCTCTTGTATATAGTGTCTTAAAACAAACATTTACAGTTTTTAAAAATGGAAACCAACTCTGGTTATGCTTTGTCATAATATAGAAATACCAATGGTGTTTTAGATATTTTTTGCAGCTTTCACAAAGCTAAAAGCAGACAAACAAAAATCACCTCAATCTTCATATTCCCTAAAGAGAGCCTACAGATAAAGGGGAGCTGGAGAATGACCCCAAAGTTTTCTTTCCTTGTATTAAAAAATAAAATAGTCTTATTTAAGGTCCACCAAATTGCCTTACATTTAGCAAAATGGGGTCTGTTGCAACCTTGACATGCCCCCTTGTGTATTTGGGAGAGAGCAGTAATCGCTCTTGAATTAAGATTGCAACCTTTTTTAAACCAAACCAGACGCTGTTTTTACCACTCTTAAGATTGGCTTTAAAATTGTCCTGTTAACTCTGAAGAGACAGAGACTGTAAAATTCCTTTTAGTGAAGAAACCAGATGAAGTTACAGCATTCTGGAAACAAAAAACACAACTGATTTTAAGGCTTCATTTTAGTTTGCTTCTTTCCTTGTTTTCAGCTCTGAAGTAGTTTACTACTTCTCATCTCATTTTTATTGCTCTTAAAACTTAAGCAGCGAATTACAAAATTGATCTAAGTTGTGTATGAACACTTAAAATGATTCAAAACAAAGTTGCACGGGTCAGCTAAATCAGTTTAACATCATATTTCTTTTAAACCATTATGAAACCTTTCTTGACAGAGAAACTTGAAACTTAGTGTTCTGATAATTTTATGCTTAAAAATATATTAACTGGTATAGGATTGAATGCTGCAGTTGGATTCTTGTAGGAAAATATTACATTTTGGAAACTTCTTTTTGCATCGTTGACAGGAAAAATTACAGCTCTTGATAGAAATGGCTCAGAGGATTGACATGGTAGAGGTATTTTTTTTGATGGAATGTGTCAGGGCAGCAAAGCAGGTACTGTTATCAAAGTGACGTGAGAACCTGTGGAATTTTATTTATGAAGTTAACATGTGTACCACCTTTTTATGTTTGTGTGCAACACAAAGTTAGAGGCAGTTGTTCAACTAACTACAAAGAATTTCACAGAGGTAGATGTATTTTAATTTTATATCTGTTTCATTTTTTTTAGATGATCATAGTCGTGTAAAACTGCAGAACACGGAGAATGACTATATAAATGCCAGCTTAGTAGTAATAGAAGAAGCCCAAAGAAACTATATTTTAACCCAGGTAAGTTACAGGGAGCTTGCTTTCCATGTTCTCACTGAAGGTAGAACAATAACAACTTAAATATTTAGACGCAGTAGTGCCACAGCACTGATTAGCAAATCTGAATTTTTTCCAGTAAGGCCTCCCTCCCTCCAGTAATCCCAGGATCAGGTTTTCCCTGCATGAGCAAGTTCCTGTGACTGGGAGCCCCATGAATCCAGTTGAAAGGCTCCCACCTATACTGGTGCCACACAACCCCAGGGTTGAAGGATTGCGGCAGGGGTGATTCCTGCACACCCGCCCCCCACACAACCCTTGCTCCAGGCATGCAAGGAAACCCCTGGGGATTGGGGCTATTGGGATTTTTATCCTGGCCATGGTATCCCCTTGTGGCTGAGAGCCCCATCAGGCGATACCTCACTACATGTGAAAATTAAAGCTTGATAGCAACTGGCTATTAAACATTTTCAAGGTCTAACTTTATAGCTGGTTGGAGCTTTTATGTGATAGGTAGTCTGCATGTTTAGCTGATCTCCAGATAATTGTGCAATTAAGCAGTTGCTACCTGTAATGTGTAGAGGGGACCTAGTATTAAAACGAAGCTTAAAACTTAATATTGATCTCTAAGTAATATTGAATTTTCCTTTTCTTTAACAATTTGGACTTTTGACTGGGTACATAATTTAATTTCTTCTTTTTTAAAAAAAAATCCAGAAATATAAGGTAAGAGGCCTTGAAAAAATTGACAGGTACAGAACAGGAGGGTAGGAAAGTCCAACTATTGGAGGTCTGAAACAAATGTCCTGGTAAGACACTCAAACTCCCTTGCCATCCCAGCAGCTGGTAGACAGAGGATTTCCTCTTTCACAATAACTTTAGGCTAGTAGCCATCTTATTCCATTGAAACTTCAGCTGCTCTAAATGTTGGCATGGAGGAGACATTTTTGTATCTCAGCCCTGCAGAACAGCTTGGTTGCTGTGAGAAGACTGTTCTCAGTACTTCATCTTATTCTATTTTGAGGGCATCCTCTGCATATCATTTCAGTATGTATTCTTGCTATTGCTCTACTCAGTGAAGAAGGAGCATCATGAAATCAGTGGAACATAACTGTTTCCAGAGCTGTAACAGCACTATAAAACTAATGCGAGCCTTGTAAATTTCTTACATCATGTTTGCTAACCAGTACTTGCAGCAATAGAGCATCTGGAACTTGGCTGCACTCTCAGGAAAATCAGTAGTGCATCTGTGTACTTTGGCATTATATTGGAAGGCTTCTTTGCAATGAACAAAAATATTTGGAAAAATGTAAAAAATATAAGTTCCGCAAAATTTAAGAAAGAAAATCCTAATTTCCAGTCATTGCTCTAGGGCAGATCATTTGAATCCTGATTCATTGAAAACATTTATTTGCCTAGAAATAGGTAAGTAGGGGAACTGAAAATGGCTACTCTTTTAAAGTAAGGTTTCTTTAACATCCATTTATTTACTAGCTTCCACTAGTTACTAGTGTAACTTTTTTAATATGGATTAGGCTTTCTTAAAATAAATAAATAAATAAAAAAGCACAATGGATGGATGCATACAGAGGTCTCATTCACTTGTGCTTAATAAAACAAAGCTTAATATACAAAATCCAGAGATTTTTAAATCTTTATGATGCTGAAACACTTGGAGATTGTCAGATTTTTGAATGATCAAAGCCATGGCTCTATAAGATGAACTATTGCAACTAAAAAGAACCCCTTTAGTTTTGAGAAATAAGCCTCTGCCATTTTAAAAGCCTAATACCAGATCTGCTGGGATGCATCATATTGTGCCGCTAGTTGTTTGAAAATAGAATTTTCTCTCATTTATATCTTCCCATATTGTATTCCGTTAATTACACTTGTCCTTTTCAGTTATAGTATCTCAGTATACGTTAACTTTTAAACTGGTTTTGTAATTCATCAGCTTCATTGTTGTCATTGTCATCATGACTCTTTTGAAATACATTTTGTGGTAGGCTAGCTGACTGGAAAAAATCTATGAGGTACTTCCAAGTATACAAACACTGGATGTTGATATTTTACATGAATAACATTTTTGCTGTTTCCTCTTTAATCTTATGTCTTACAAGACTGTCAGATAAGAACTTAATTGACTCTTGATCATTTTCCCTGCCTTTTTTCTTTATTGCCCAGGGTCCACTTCCTAATACTTGTTGTCATTTTTGGCTAATGGTATGGCAACAAAAGACCAAAGCAGTTGTTATGCTAAACAGAATTGTTGAAAAAGACTCGGTAAGTAATATTAGCTACTTACTATAATTTATATGTAGACTGTAATTTTAACCCTGTCAAACCACATATAATTAGTATGTTATAACTGCTTTTGCCAGTAATCAGAATGCCCTGATACAAAGAGCTGATACATTCTTGCTTCTGGCATACACTCTAGTTAACAGTAACTTAAATAATTTAGAAAAGCTCATCTTGTAAGGTGTATCGTCACACTTGAATATTCATGACAACAGGAGTACTTCAGTAGTTTTACAAGTAGGAGGAAAATGAGGTGACTTTGTTTGAAAAGTGAGGGGTAGAAGACAATTTACAGACTTTCTTCTAGTTGAATATTAATAATGTTTAGAGATTTACAAAATGAGAACTATTGAACTAAAGTTCAGCTCAGCGGGCACAGTGTTCTGCAAGAAGTACATATCCAGAAAGATGAAAGAAACATCCTGACAAAAAGGAGTGTGAAACCAGAACTAAGAGAGGTGTTAAAGGTTGGAGGTGTTCCAGGATGAAACATAGAAGGTAGAAAATTACTTTCAGTTTAGTTGTGTTTAGGTAACTTCTGGTATTTTTTCAAAATCTAACAATAGAACTGTTTTGCTTTGTTAATAATTTAAGTAGATGGGTGTTGACAGTGAAACATTGACTTTATGCTACTAGCCATAGGCAAATTAGTCTGTTTTCACTTCCTGACATCAGTGAATGTTTAGAGTGCCTAAATCACTTGATGCATAGCCTTTTGCCAGCATACTCACTCCATTGCATGCACACAGATATTTTAGCTGTTATTTGTGAGCTATTGCAATAAAGGTCAGTCGTTCAAAAGAGAAATCTGATCATTCAAAAACCTTGGGCAGAAAGTTTGATGTACAGGAGTTTGTTGGCCCAGGTTTACATTCATTTGTATGAAGTTCCGTTGACTTCCAGGAACAAATCCCATTGTCCCTGAAGTGAGTGAGCACTGAAGATTCTTATAAACTTGATTTGGATTTAAAAGCCTTGGGGATAAGACAACACAACAGACAGTGAAATGTAAATAAAAAGTAATGCTCCGTGGCAAAGAATAATTGTAATCTTTTCATGTGCTGCATGATTGCTGAACTTAAGGATTTTCAGAGGAGGAAAGTGTTGGGATAACTCATTAAAGATGGGTGTCCAATTAAAGAGGTAGTAGAAGCAAATGCATCTTGAGATGCAACCAGGGACTATAATAACTGAAGAAAGGGCACGAAAATGTGGGGGGGGGAATAAAACTAGAGCCTATACGAGTATTTGCAATGACAAAGTTGTAAAAACAAGGTCTTGTAATGAAGAATCAAAATGATCAAGGGTCTAGTTAAAAACATTTCTCTATAGTGTGCATGGTAAGTCTGTACAGCCTCTTAGGGAACTCCTAGAATATAATGAGGAATTGGGATATGTACAGGATATAGCTATATATAAGGGAAAATAATATTTCATTAAAGTGTTTAGTTACCTTGTGGAATTCATTGTCCTTGGGACCATACTGTGGTTGTATTTTTAAAAACTGTGGATAATTTTAACTATCTCATCATGTAGCTTAAGTATTCACAAAGGAAGAATACCCTTGAGAGTATAGCCTTCCTGCAGTAATCAGAAACTTCATCTCTACTCCAGATAACCTGTTGTCTACTTGAGGCTGTTTTAAAACATCGTGTATTGACTGTTGTCCAACAGCAGGTTGAGGAAACTAGTAAATAAATAGAATCTTTGAACTTGTCTAATGATGCAGTAGAAAATGTTATAATTGCTGAGGATACAAGCATAAGGTTGGAATGGTTTATGAACTAGAAAGGACTTTTCTAGTGGTTGGAGAAAAATGGGAAAGATAAGAAAATATGGGCTTGATTCTTCTCCTCTCCACCCCCCCACCCCCCCAACTGTTGCAATTGTATAGTTATTTGTGTAAAGTAGGTGTAAAACATTTGCTGAATCAGAATGGTAGCAAATAATGTTCTTTGCATTGATATAGATCATTGCAGTGTGCTCAGTAGCTGAGAATCGAGTCCCAAATGCAATGTTTCTACAGTTATCAACTCTCTGGAAATTTGTCTGAGATTTTTCATTTATACTTGCATTTATATATTTTTTCTAATGTGTTGAAGTGAGAATAAAGTTTTCAGTGGTATGTTGCAACTGTATGAATATTAGCTAAAGAGAGATTATGTAGGCCTAATAAAAACTTTTTAGCTAATGATCTTTAAGCTTGAAATATGTTAAATCTGTGTTAAAAACAAAAGAGATTTCCCAGTAGGTTGTTTGTGGTCTGCCACATCTCATTTTTGTCGCTTATCTCAGTGAGCACCTGTTTACATATTTCATTCTATAACGTAGGTAAAATGTGCACAGTACTGGCCAACAAAAGAAGAGGAAGTCATGATGTTCAAGGAAACAGGATTTCGTGTGAGACTAGTATCTGAAGATATCAAATCCTATTACACAGTACATCTACTTCAATTAGAAAATATCAATGTAAGCTTTATCTCCATACGTGTGTACTGCACATTCATAGGACTAAATATGTGATGTAAAATATATTTTAAAAATCTCTTATGAACTTTCACTTCCTGGTTTGACTATTCCATAATAATAATTACATTAAAAATCAAATAAATTTTGTATACTGAATGAACACAGCGTACAAATGTCCAGGTAAGTGTGCGTGCGAGTGGATTAACTGGATTTAGATGCAGAATGCAATGAGTCAGGCCAGGGCTCCATGGACCCCGGTATAGCTACTTCAGCCTCCCTGCTGTGAACAGCCTGGGCTCTGGGGTGGGGACAGGCCCAGAGCCAGGGTTAGTTGTGCCAGGTGGCCAGGAAGGTGCAAGTGACTGCATCAGGTCCACGGAGCCCTGGCCTGGCTTGTTGTCAGCAGTGGGTACACGTGTGCCTCGGGGCACATGGTGGGGAAGGGGCTGGGGTGTGGTGTGGTGCCACAAGAAGGATTGGACCCCTCACTGCTTCCCCACCCTAATCCCCAAGGTGCACGCGCACCCCCACCGTTGGCAACGAGCTGGGTCCGAGTTCCGCAGACCCCCCGGTAGAGCTACTTGCAGTCGTGGCTGGGTAGCAGTGTGCCAGTGGTGGGTGAGGGGCTTTCCCTTCACTGCCTCGCTGCTGCCACCTGGAGAATGTGTGTGTAGAGGTGCCCCAATAAAAGCATGTTGTCAGTTAACCATTTAACTGATCACCAGGGATCCTGGTTTTCCGTGATAGATAAAAAATCACAAATTCTCTGATAAAAAATTGCGAATTCTCTGATTTAAAAATCCCCAAATCCGTGGTTAAAATGAAATCTCCACCCCCCGCCCCCCCCAGCCCTGCTTGTGCCCCTTGCCTCCCGCCCACAGCCCCTGCCCCCTAGCCCTGCTGGAGGGGGCCCCCAGTGCCAGGGCTATGGGGCCAGGGACCCAGGTCCACAGCCCTCTGCCCCCAGTGGAAGGTAGTGGCTGCTACAGCCGGAGCACGAGCTGGCTCTCCTCTGCTGCTGCCTGCTGCAGGCTTGGGCAGGGCCAGCTCCCAGCGGCAACGTGCACCCCTGGGGGGCAGGGGGGACCTGTGTCCCCCAGATCTGTGGGGGCAGGGCAGATGTGCACTGCCCCTGTGCACGCAGAGGAAATGTGGCCAGGGCACCACAGAGCTTGCAGTGGCAGGCAGCTTTCGTGCGTGGCCTCGCTGTGTCCTGCCACACCAGTTGTGCATGCTGAGCTCTGGAGAGCCTGGGGGAGAGCAGCAGGGCGGAGAGCGCAGCATTTGCGACCCAGGGTTTGCAGCTGGCTGGGCCTTCTGGCCAGGAGGCAGTTTGCAGCCTGCCTACTCCCAGCCAGAGTGCTCGGCTGGCTGGAAACCCTGCCATTCCCAGCCAGCTGCAAACCCCCACTCCCAGCTGGAGTGTCGAAGCTGGCTGGGGGTTGAGGGAGTGGGGAGGTTTGCAGCTGGCTTGGCACTCTGGCGGGGAGCAAGGAGGCTTCAAACCCCGTCCTGGCCAGAGTGCCTGGCTGACTGCAAACCTCCCTGCCCCGTTACCCTCAAGCCCCACTAACAGCTCACTCTTCTTGCTGCAGGTAAGTGTGGGTGTCAGGTCCTGCCCTTCCCCCCACCCTCCCTTCCCCTCCAGGCAGGGTTGAGGTTTTCCCCGACCCTTCTGCAAACAGCTCCTGGAGGATGGAACTCTGACAGCCTGCAGAGCTCTTTGGAAAAGGGGGAAATCTATGCGTTTCTTTTCTAAAAGGGAAAATCCATGTTTTCTCTGATTAAAAAATGGGAAATCTGTCGTTTTCTCTGTTTTTCTGTGGGAAACAGAAAACTGGGATCCCTGCTGATCACATTAGGGGAGTTTAAACAGGTCCTTAATTAATCAGTATTTACATCCCTAACTTGGAAATGAAGGTAATACTACGAAATGCAAATATGAGGTTTTGCTGGAATATTATGGCACACATAAATTCGTACATTTTACGCAAGATTTTGTCAGTTAGTTGATTAATAGTCCAACATAATACATTTACTAAGAAACATGGTCTAGATCTTAAGTGTCTAACAGATGCCCAAGAACAAGATTTACACTCTGAAGTTCATACCCAAACACAGGAGTGGCCACCTGCAGTATGCATGCTATGAGTGGCATGTGGTAGATTGGGAGGGAGCAAGGAATACAATAGCAGATAGGCTCTTCTGCTTTCTGCCCCATCAGGCAGGGGAATGGGATTGGAGTGGCACTCAGAGAGGAGGTGAGGCTTACCTTCTGGCACAAGCTGCCAAAAATCCACTATTTTAACCTTGCATTTCCATAAGAACAGTGAAAAGTAGAATTGTTTTGCTTCTGGTACTGCAACAGTGCACATTTTTGGAGTATTCTAACAAGGGGCTTATTTCATAGTACTATATTGCTGGAGAAGTGAAAACTTCTGGATGTGCCTGGTTTTATAGAGAGCAAACAAATATAATCCTTGCGTAAGTTTGAATCATGACATTTGGCAGCTTAACTTATTTGTTTTGTTCCATATAAATGTTTGTATTTGCCTTTGTGGCTAGTGTTTTACAATAAGATTTGGAGGAGAGAGAGTTTGATGTTATCTTTAATAAATGATTACACAAGTTATTCATTTTTGCCTGAATGTGCTGTTTTTTGGAATACTGGAATACAGAAATCTGATACTTCCTTTCCACCAGTACTTTTACTGTGTATCCTCTATCCCCCGTCTCCCTGGCTTTTATACCTATGTTAAAGTCAACTAATACTTCCCATTCTAGAATTTTGCTTTCATTTGTTCATACATCTTCCTTTTTTAAATTGTTTAAATTGAAACTTTTTATATTGGGTGACTGCTTCAGGTTGAATTATTTAGGGAAACTTCTGCAGAATTCAGCCATTTCACAGGGTTTTTTCCTAATCTATCTTTACTGTGTTAAAAATGCTTAATTGTTCCATTGAGAAATTTTAGTGCTGCCAGTTGAAGTAAAGGTTTTGAAATCTGGCGTGGAGCTTGGTGTTTATGGTAGGGATGTGCCTTTTGTTGACCCTGTAAAAACACCCTAATTTGGCCAAGTTAAGGACCAGCTGTGCACATGCATGGAGTTAGTTCACAGTTCATCAGCTAAATTCCCTAAAGATTGTGTCTATGCTATTCATGTTTCTAAGGCTCCCCTCTACATGTGCAGGTAAAGGAGTGATTGGATCTAATGCATGATCCACACAATTACACCTCCTGCCACGCCACAATTTCGGCAGGAGACGAAATTATGGGACTGTGCATTAGATCTAATCATGCTTTATTGCTGGCGCAGGGGGAGCCCAATTCTGCACTGGCAAGAAGCAGGCTCCCATAGCTAGGGGTCCACTTTGCTAAGGAGGCTCCCAGCTGCAGGAACCATACACAACCAGGACTGAGAGCTGCACAACTGCTGGTGTTCCTGGTTCCACTTGCCTGTGAAGCACAGCCTGAGTCAGGAGCCCTGTGTGGGCTGGGGGTGTTGTGTACCCCTGAGCCTTGGTGATCTCTGCAGCTGCGATCCCCAGGGCTCCTGGCTTGTACAGGGCTCCCAGCTGCAGAGGAGACCCTGCTACATGTGCAAATTAAAGTTTGATAGCAACTTTATAGCCATTGGAGCTTTTTATTATGTAACAGTACTTGGCACATGTATCTGGTCTTAAGATAATTGTGTAATTAACCAGTTAATTGTGTAATACCTGTGAAGTATAGTGGGGGCCTGATTAGTCTTTCCAACTGCTGTGGGTTGCTGTAGTGTGAGCACCAGGACTGAGAGCAGGAAGGTGCTCTTGTGCTCACAGTGCTCCCCCTGCTGGCACCCAGACAACCTGAAAAAAGATGGTGGCCCAACTCGCACAGAGGGCCAAGAGCTAGGAAAGAACTAGATTGGGGCAGGAGATGTGGGGGGCCAGAGGGATGATGGACAGGTACTAGTGGAGAGGAAGTTGGGAGTGTCTGACTAAAGAGTCTGAGGAGTGGGAAAGACTAAGATTAATGAGAAGTACGGGTGGCAGGAGACGGGAATTAGGAACTCAGGAATGTGGAAACTGAGCTGCTGAGGAGGGAGGGGGAAGAGCTGAGATGTAATGGGAAGGGAAGGAAGGAAAGGGGAGTGGAAGAGACACCATTCTGTTCTTTTGTTTTCAGATGTCTTAAAAACCCAGCAGTAAGATGTACTTTCATTCCTTCTGCTGCTGGTTTTTCTCATTTCTGTCACTCTCTTAATCTGTTATTACTGTCTCCTGATGGATTAGATGTTCCAGCACTGTTAGCAGTGTAGATCAATATGATTGAACCTGATCCACTTTTTTCCTTTGTTTGTTTGTTTTTAAATAACCCTAGAAAACAATTACCTTGCACTCAAGTTTTAGCTAAGTCAAAATGAAGCATTTGGTCATTTTCCTTCTGTGGTTGTAGATTGCAGGTGGTGTTACTAAATTAAGATTTTAACACCAAACCTTTTCTGGTTAATTTTAATCACTGTTGTAAGGGTAGCTCCAGTAAAACTTTTGTGAAGAATGTGTAGTCAGTCCTCTCTTAATGCCAGTCTGAACTTAACAGATCATTTGGCAGAGTATTAGATGGACAAGCAGAACTCCTAACATGATTATCTGGTGGCATTGTTTAAGGTTTTTTGTTTTATGGCTCAGTTTATCTCACTGAATGCCTTTTCACCTCTTCATTATCATTGTGTAACTGTTCAATGCCCTTGAGGCCCAATCCTTAAACCTTCAGCTTATTTCAGGATTAGATCTATGTTACTCACTGAATTGTCCAAGTGAGTCCATTTTGGAAGCAACACTTCCAAAATGTTGCTAATTTTGAAAGAATGCTGTGCATCCTGTTTTTTAATTGTATAGAAAAGTAATAGTTTTGAGTAAACATGGTATAAATAGAAAATGATGGGTATAATGCACAAAATCTGGTTTAAAACTCTGCTTCAGGCAGTCATAAAGAGAATCTTACTGTGTTTCCACGAAGGGAATATTTACTGCAGGCTGCTAAATCATAGTAGTGTAAGACTGATGTTGTTTAACAAATGCATATTTAGGGATTGGATGCTGTGTGTGAAAGAATTTAAGGCTTGTGTCTTGCCAGTTCGTTGTCCAGCCTTCAGTGAGACTTTCTGTGAGCAAAGCAAGACTTGGGCACGTTGTTGCTGGCCTGGTGTCCTGGATTGTCTTTCTGCCCTGATTATGACAATATCACTAGTCCCCTTTGAAACAATTCCCTGTACATGTCAAAATGAATTTACACCAGGATGGGCAAAATGGCGGATCCGCTGGACAGCCAGACTCCATTTCCCAGCTGCCCTTGCCTGCATCTGCGGGCAGTTACCATGGAGACCCCAGTAGCGGTGGTGCCATGACATCATGAGGCTGGGGTTTCCATGGAGATGGGCCCCAGCTGTGCTGGTAGGGTGAGGAGGTGCTTTAGGGCTGGGATTTTTGCAGCAGTGACAGTATAGTCTAGCCAGGGCAGAGCCACGATCTGCTGCCTGCATGTTTCTGCCTGAGGCATGTGGGCAGTAGATTGCAGCTCTGGACCACACTGTCACCACTACAAGATCCCACCCCTGGAGCAGCTCCCCACCCAGCTGCACACCCTGCTAGCACTGCTGAGCCCATCTCTATAGAAACCCTGGTCCTATGCTGTCATGACCCTACTGCTCCTAGGGTCTCCATGGAAGCCAGCTGCAGTTATGTGGGCAGGGGCTACTGGGCAGTGGGGTTTGCTATGGGTCTGATCCTGCCCATGGGCTGGACTTTGCTTATCCCTTATCTAAACCATAGAGACAAAGATTAATCTTTAAATACATATTTTTCCTTTTGGCAGCTAGAGCTGGATATTAACTAAGGACAAAAGACAAGGCAGTAACTGGACAGAACTTCAGTACACTTGTTGTGGCAACTATTGAGAAATGATAAATGTGACCTGAATGGCTGTTTTAACAAGCAACTTTTTGTAGATCAGCCCTTCATAGCCTCTCATAAGTAACTGACTAATAGACAAACATTTGAATGTTCTGTTTCCATTTTGCAGATTTCTTTTTCCTAGTGATTGGAAGATGAAAATGACTTTAGCTTCTATGGACCAATACATTTGTTTGTTAAATCTTATTTTTACTATTTGCTTTATAGAAACTAGGTAGATGTACCAAAAATTGTTCTGTTAAAATAAGATGTTAATAATACTAAGTAAACTTGAGCATATCAGATAGTTTAAAAAACCAAAACAAAGCAAACTGATGTTGAGATTACTTCCTTGATTTCATTGAGATTCCTAGTCTCAAAAGCATCCATGATCAAGCTGCCTCAAAGTAAATAACATTTAAGATCCCAGCAGCTGCTAGAATTTTAACTACAGTGTCGCTTGCATGTACTGTGAGCAGAAGTATTTAGCAAGGTGCTTAAAATGGTGGCAGTGGCCTGTGGCCTTGTCTATACTCATGCTGTTACTACTATCAGTTGAATTACGAAAGGTAGGAAAAGAGAGTTATTTTTAGAGAAAACAAATAAACTAAACTAAACCAGAAAATGTTGAGGCTTGGGGATTTCAGTAGCTGTCTTCACTGGATACCATTTGCTTTTCTGTTTCAAGAGACAATGTGGCAGTCATAAATCTAACTTCCTGGTGTTGGTTAGGATCTAAGGATGCAAATGTCTAGCAATCTGATAAAAATGTCTGTACCAAACTGAAAGATTTACAGAAATGCTGAGTAATTTCTGGCCTGTATAAGTAGATGAGTCACAGGAGAACAGTTAGGCAAACATGAAAAGAGCCTTCTTCCATATAATTTTATTATTTTTTCATTTTTAGAGTGGTGAGTCCAGGATGATAACTCACTTTCATTATACTACGTGGCCAGACTTTGGAGTCCCTGAGTCCCCAGCTTCATTCCTCAACTTCTTGTTTAAAGTTAGAGAATCTGGGTCGTTGAATCCTGAACATGGACCTGCCGTAATTCACTGTAGTGCAGGTATTGGACGTTCTGGCACATTTTCATTGGTAGACACCTGTCTTGTCCTGGTAAGTGTTTTGGGGTGGTTTGGTTTTGTTGTTTTGTTTTTTTTAATTTACACTTGTGGGGTTTTTGAGACTGACAGAGATCTTATACAAATATTTGTGGAAGTAAATTAGGACTTGCTGTAAACTATGTTATTACTTCGTCTTTAAAGTGCTTTAAACATATTTATCCACAGCTACCCATAATATGAGTCAGGAGGCCAGCCTGTGACATGGGTGCCACAAGTGGTCCAGGTAGCCTCTTTGTGTTGCATGTGGCAGATTGGGGAGGGGACAGGCAAACACAGTGGTAGATAGGTCCCTGATCTGAAAACAGCATTAGATTAGGGAGGGAGCACAGGGCAGGAAGCAGAAAGCAGAGCAACCAGTTGGTTAGGGGAGAGGGACTCGGGTGGGGCTAATTTTCTTGTACACCTACCAACAAGATTGGCCCCCACTGTAGTACTTAATTATATGCAAAATGTGGCAAAGGAAACAGAACAAATAAGATCAAGGATTCAAAGAAAAAGCTGCTTAAAGCTAGGCTTCTAAATCCATGTTAATATTTTGGATAAGGTGATAACTCATAAGTTCTGAGTTGTGTTCTTGAATTATCGGGTTTTTTATGTCTGTCAATTTTTTTTCTCAGGAATTTGTGACTTTTTTTTGCTGTTCCAGTTAAAATATATTTTTCCGATTTTATTACAAAACTTTCAGGAAACATTGGGGTTGGCTGTTGGGTATTTTTGTTTTGGGTTTTTGTTTTTACTTGCACCCAAACCCACACCAACATACTTTGAAAAGCTTGCTTTGTTCCTTTAAGGCTTCTATGACTCAAGTGAAAGTTTAAGCATTGCTATAAAACTGAAAACTTTGAGAGAATTCCCTGTAATTAATGCAAAGCATCATTTATAAACCAGACTACTGTTCCTTATCTGTTGGGAAGGAATGACTTTTAAAAGGATATAATTGGTTCAGTTACTGGTTAATTGGTTCAGTAACTGGTTAATACTAAAGAATTCTTTGAAGACCATTGCAGTATATATTAGGGGTGCACCAATAGAGATTTTTTTGGGCTGATACCGATGGCCGATTTTTTTAATGAGTCGTAATGGCCCATACCAGTCTGATTTCGATATGCAGCCCTGCAGCGTGGAGAGTGGTGTTGGGCTGGTAAGTCTGTTGTAGGGGATAGGGAAGGGGCATGGGGGGAGCAGATTGAGGGCCCCCTTGGTGAGGGAGGGAAAGGGGCTGGGGCAGGTGCTGCCCAGCCTGGGCAGAGCAGGGCACGGGACAGAGCTGTGGCTTGTCTGGGGGTGCAGCTCCTGCTGCTATGCACATCCAGGAGGGCACAGGGTGGGGGGTGCTGCCCCCCAGATTGGCCTGGGGGAGGGCAGGCTGCTGCTGCGGGCTGGGGCCGAAGGCTGCATCAGGTTCTTTCTGGCAGGGGGCTGAGCTAGGCTGTGCTCGGTGTGTGTGGTGGCATTGCTGGGAGGGAGCTATGGCAAATTTTGGGGTGGCTGCAGCTTCCCTCCCCAGCCCCCCCTCCCAGCTCTGCCACCCGCCCCAAGTGCAGCCCTGACTTGGCTCCCCTGCCTGGAAGAGCCAGCCCTGCCCCAGCCTGCAGCAGCATCCTGCCCTGCCCTGCCCTGCCCTGTGCACAGATCTGGGGGCCCAAGCCACCCCCTGGACAAGCTGTGACTTTGTCCTGTGCCCTGCCCCACCCCAGCTGGGCAGCACCTGCCAGTGCTGCCATTGCCTGCCCCAAGCACATCCCAGCCCAGCCCGCAGTGGCAGCCCGTCTGTACCCCTTGCATAGATCTGGGGTCACAGGCCCCCCATGCCCTCCCAGGGTGCACATAGCGGTGGGAGCTGCCCTGCCCCAGCCTCACTCCCTCCCCCACTGCTGGGGCCTTGATCTGCCCCCCTGCCCTTGCCCACAGCAGCAGCCCCACCTTCTGCCCGCGCACAGATCCAGAGACACTGGGGCCTTGATCTGCCCACCATGCATCCCCCTTCTTGCATCCCCTGGACAAGCAGCTTGTGGCTTCATCCCACACCCTGCCCCAGCTGAGCAGTGCCTGCCCCTGCCCCATTCCCTCCCTCACCACAGGGCCTCTATCTGCTCCTCCCCCTTAAAAAGAAGAAAAAAATATAAAGGGGTACATGAGCTGAAACTTTGAGACGGAAGGGGTAAACTTGTTTTAAAAAAAAAAAAAAAGGTTGAAAACTCCTGAATACCATGTAGGATTGGAAGTAAATTTCCTATTTTCCTGCTTCCAATTTGGTACTGAAAGATTTATTGCCCTGAACTTAGTCATGATTATGGATTATTGGGGGAAAAAGATGTTTACCTGATAAGATTTTTAAAACTATATATCCATTATATATACTGGCTGGTTTAAATCACAATTTTGCATTTTTTGTGAAAATCGCAAAATTTAAATGATTTTTTTTCTTTCACAAAAAAGCTACTATTTGCAATGCAGTTCCACAATACATCCGCTTGCTGGACCATATTCCGGCATTTTGTTGCAACGAGATGGAGCTGGGGTGGCATCTGTGGCACTGTACAGCGCCCAGTCTCTCCGCCCCAGCCAGCACCAGCAGTGGTGCATCACTGGGTGGGGCCAGGTGGGCAGTGGGAGGGAAGTGATCAGTGCTGCCTCAGCAGGACACCTGCATACAGAGTGGGGGTAGCAGTGAGCGAGTCTGATGGGCAACAGGCCCCTGCGTGTGAGTGAGCCATCCACGCTCCGGCCCCTTTTGCCTGCCTCACAACTCTTTGTTGGTTGCGGGTGCTGGCAAGCCACTTCCAGCGAGTTTGGCTAGGCTGGGGTCTGCCAGGAGCTGGGTGTGCTGCAAGGTAAGTCCACTTCCCCCAGTAGCCAGGTGGGTTTCTCCAACCCCATCCAGTGAAGGGGCTCTGTGCCCCATGGGGAAATTGGCAATATTCTTCCTCCCTTCCTGCTAGATACTCCTGATCCCTGCTCCTAGCCTAGCCCTGGAGCCAGGCTCAGCTGTCCAGATGGTTCTAAACCTGCTCCCTCAGCCAATCAGGAGACATTGAGGGGGAGGGGAAGGAGGCATGATCTGGGTGCAAAAATGGCAGCTCCTGCCACGACTGGACCACTAGTGAGCTGGGCCTGCGATTTTAAACCGGGCCCTAGTAATATATATACATTTTTTCCATGGCAATGAATGTAGGTTGATATAAAGAGCTCTTGCAACATTGTCGTTATGAATCTGAGACTACAGACAAAATTCTTATTCTGGAATAAATCATGTCAGATTATCTTGTGTTAACTGCTCCATAGTAACTTCCCTTGTGCACATGCTAATCCCACCAGCAAGTGTAAATTAATGAAGGGTAGCTTATCGTTCAGTGGAAGGGGGATATTGGACAATTTAGCTTCCTCTGACTGCATGAGATGAGTATATGCATCAGCAGTGGCTGTGGAGCTGCTGATGCCTCTTTATTTTATAACTAGTTTGCCTGTTCTCTAACAAACTTAACACAAGAAACAAACAAAAACCCCAACAAAAAAAAAAGAAATCAAACATTGTTTTAGATGCTTAGGTTAAGTAAAGTGGACCCTTGGAATAATTGTGTTGAGGAATGTGGAGAGATTCGCAGAATTCCTCCAGAAAGCAGTTTTTAAAAGTCGGCATTATCAGATCTTGCAATTTTACTTTGAGTCATTTTATTATTTGGTATACTTAAAATTTCAGCTACTGACCGTGTCAGCAATTGATAAAATTTGGAGTTTCAATTTTTAGAGCAGTATCTACAAGCAAAACAATGGGAATTTAAATTTCTGTCTGTAACAGTATACTCTACGTTGCAGAGAAAAGCTTTAAAATGTCATTCAGATGCGCCTTAAATGCACAATAATATTAAATTTGGAGATGGTTTAGTTGCTTTACTATTTTATATAAAATATAATGATTTTTGAGGCCAGACTGTTTTGACAGCTTGAGTTGGCAATGCTGAAAAGGTATTGAATATTACAAATAACAATAGTGTAACTTGTCTTTACAGGCCTCTGCAGTTCAGGAAAAATGATGTTGAACTCTTTAGGCTTTAGGTAGTTCTTTGTATTGTCCTAACTTTAAATCAAAAGTGATTGATCTTGAATGTGAACTATCTTATTCCTTTATGCCTTAGTAAATAAGCATTAACATTTTTTTAAAGTAATTACCTCCTCCACCTCTTGGGCTCATTTATCTGATCTGACCTAGTCTTGCAACTTACACAAGCATGAGTAAAATTGTGTGTGTGTAATTCTATTAAGGCTTAGTGCTCCAGTTATTATTAACATATTGGCTTTTTCGTGATTTAAAAGAACTGACAAAATACCTTTTTGTTTCTGAGTAGAACTCATTCTTGTGAGAAATAATTTGGGAAACCTGTTTTCAGTTGTTCAGTTTTTTTGGGAATAACAAGAATGCAGCATGAGGTTGAATGTACATATTTTATGATTTATATACTGTCCTTTTTGCCTTTAATCTATGAAACTCAGTATAATTTTAATCCATTTTCATTACAGATGGAAAAAAAGGATCCCTTTTCTGTAGACATAAAGAAAGTATTATTAGACATGAGGAAATATCGAATGGGGCTTATTCAGACACCTGACCAATTAAGGTTTTCATATATGGCTGTAATAGAAGGAACAAAATTTATAATGGGAGATTCAACTATACAGGTAAATGTTCAGAATAAAATGAGTTGACTTTTTAAAATCCATTTTTAAACAATAAAATATCAATTGGTGATTTTATTTTTTTTTTTGTATAGCTTGAAACTATGTCATTTCTGTGTTTGGTTGAGCAGATGGATGTCTTTTAAGCTAGATAAGGGGCGGGCAATTATTTTGGGTGGAGGGACATTTAGCGAGTTTTGGCAAGCTGTTGAGGGCTGCGTGGGCAGTCCTGCCACTTGACAGGTGCCCCGGCCCCTGGTCACCATCTTGGGACTCACTCCTAACCTCTGACCTTTGCCACCAGAAGTCCTTCCCCTTGCTCCTGGAAGTACTCCTTTGGGAAAGAGGGTTTGCCATCGGGTGGGGAGGGACACAGGGGACAAATTACTTACTAAAATTCAAGCACCCATAATAATATATTTTAATTTAATTAAAAAAAAAAATTGTCCTGATTTGTGTGCATTTGTGCTGTATATACAGAAGTGATTGCATATGGGTGTTTGTGGGGATATGTGTGGGGGTATGGATGTGGGCATGTAGTGTAGAGTGGCTGGCGGGCAGGCAGGAAAGTGGGGAAAGCAGCGGGGGGGAGTGGAAGCAAGTGTGAGCGTAGGGCCTGCACCAAAGTTCTGGGGCCAGCACCAGCAGGGCCCAGAGTGGGGCGGCACAAGTGTGGGCTGGCAGGGATCTGTGGAGCCAGACCGGGCTACGCCAGCAGGGAGAGTGGGGAGCTGACCCAGCTCCATAGAGCCCCTGCTGGCCAGGACCCCACGCTCCTGCCATCCTGCTCTGGGACCCGCTTGCACTGGTCCTGGGACACAGGCATGGGCCCGGTGCTCCCTCCCTCCTGGCTGCTGCTGGCTCCCGCATGCCAGCTCACTCCCAGTGCCCCCCGCCCCAGCCCTGGGGTACAGGCAGCGAGAAATGCACAGCCCCAGCCCCGCACACTCCATGCTCGCCCGTCTGGACTGAGCAGCAGCGGTGTGGAATGAACTGGTGCTCAGCATGGTGGGGAAAGCACCCTGCTCCCCTCCCCCCCTGTGGCTGGCACTTCCTGCTGCAGTCACTCACAGCCCGCACGGGGTTGTCTTGCCTCTCCGCCACGTCACTGCTGCCCATGGGGTACAGAGCAGACACAGGCAGCACTTTTTCCCCCATACTGAGCACCAGTTCCTTCCCCACAGCTGCTGCTGGCCAGGGCCCTGCGCCAGCTCCAGGCTTACCCGTCAGGGCTGAGCAGCAGCAGCAGTTGAGCAGAAACTGCTGCTCAGCACAGAGGAAAGTGGCCCACCTGCTCACCGGCAGTGTTTGCTGTGGCTGCCCACCCAGAGCTCACGCTGCGCTAGGCTGTGGGGCGGCTACTTCACTGCTGCCTCTGTGCTCCCTTGTGGCTGCTCAACATGGCTACTGCTGCTGCACTGGGCAGCACAGAGGCAGGGGTGAAGCATCCGCACTGCAGCCTAGGGCGGTGTGAGCTCTGGGCGGGCAGCCACAGCAAACACTGCCCAGTGGCGGCGAGCAGGGGGGCTGCTTTCCTCCATGCTGAGCAGCAGTTTCTGCTCAGCTGCCGCTGCCACTTCAGCCCCGACAGGCGAACCCAGAGCTGTTTTGGGGTCCAAGCTAGCAGTGGCGGCAGGGAACAAACTGGTGATCAGCATGGGGGAAGCAGCCCCTCCCCTTCCCCATGGCCTGCGTCCCATGCTGCAGCCTCTCGGAGCCCACATGGGGCTGCCTGTGCCTGGTCTGTTGTCACGCAGTGGAGAGGTAGGACAGCCCCATGTGGGCTGCGAGTGGCTGGAGCAGGAAGCACCGGCCATGGGGAGAAGGGGACCACTTTTCTCTTGCACTGAGCACCATCCCAGCTGCCGCTGTACAGCCCAGATGAGCAGTGTGTGGCACACGGGGTCGGGGCTGCACACCCATCCTCACCTGTACTGTGGGGCTGGGCTGGGCTGGGGGCACTGGGAGTGAGCAGGTGCGCGGGAACCAGCAGCAGCCGGGTGGGAGCGTGGGGCCCATGCTGATGCTGTGGGCCCCACTGGCAGTGGCCCTTGGACAGGGCAGGAGGAGCACGGGGTCCTGGCCAGCAGGGGCTCTGGAGCCGGGTTACCAGCCTTCCCCCCAGCTGGTACAGCCCAGCCCCACACCCTGCACTCCTACCACCCTGCTCCGGGCTCCACTGGTGCTGGCCTCATGCTCCTGCACGCCACTTGCTTCTACCCACTCCTGCCACTACTTTCCCACCCTCCTGCAAGGCTGGACTGTGGGGCTCAGCAGGAGCTGGCCCGGCCCCAAGGACTGGGGAAATCTCCGTGGGCCTCCCCTGCTTCCTCCCAATTCTTTCTTGAATTTCCCATGCTGGCACAACCACGAACAGCCCCACGGTCCCAGGCCAGAAGCCCTTGCTAGGCAGGGGCTTCCAGCTGGTGGGGGGCAGGGCTGGGCAGGGCCTGCCATGGCTTCTCCTGGGTCCTACTGACCCTGGCTCTTGTCATCTTTGATAGGAGCTAGGGGCAGATAAATATTAATTTTTAAAGTATTTTTAGGGGCCTGCAGGCCGGATTGAATGGCCTGGCAAGGTAGATGCAGCCTGCATGCCATGTTTTGCCCGCCCCTGACCTGGATGCAAAAAATGTACTGGCTACAGGGCCTGGTCAATCTGCAAAATTTATGTAACAATGCACAGACATAATTTTTTTTTTTTTTTAAATACCAACATGAGGAATCTGTCTTCAGCTTTTAAAAACAAGTCTGCAGCCTCAGGCTCCCTGGCCCCCATTTCTTCCTCTTGCAGCAGCTTCTGCCACCTGCTTCCTTCTGCCCCCTACCATTACCCTTGCTGTAGCCCCACTGAGCCCTAGCCCAGCCCTGTGGCACTGGTGGTAGCAGCACCTGCATCTGGGTCTCTGAGCCAGTGCTGCAGATGTCATGCTGCTGCCACTGCTGCTGGGCCAGGCTGGGGTTCTGTTCCATGGGCCAGGCTGAAGCAGGGCCAGATCCTGCCAGAGCAGAGCAAGGGGAAATGGTGGGAAGGGCAGGGCAAGTGGGAGGAGCCTCAGGGAGGCGGGCACAGAGGCAGAGGCTGTAGGGGCAGGAGTTGGGGGGGGGTGGAGTCTGAGGCTGCAGAAGGGGGCAGGAGTTAAGTTCCTTGACACCTCCCACCCCCCACTGTCTGCCCCCCTGCCACTGCTTGCCTTACAGTAGCAGTAGAGGGGGATGAATTTAAGACGGCCTTCCAGTAATTAGATTCTATACATGGAAAATTTATAACAAATGTATATGTATTCCATGTATACAATATAGCTACTGCAGGGGGAATCCCTTAAATTTAAGGTCATCTAGGATTCAGTTCAATATGCTAGTTTTTCAGATCTGTTCCTCACTGTGACCTGGGTTATCCACAGGAAATTAATTCTTATCCTGGTCCAGTTAGTGGAATTCATAAGAGCAGTTTTTTGAGTCAAGATTAGCCAGAGGTTTTTTCCTCTGACAAAGGTTTTATATCATCTGGGTTAGTTTTGTATCCTAGCAGCAGTGAAGATGTAAGGAATGTCTCAAGCATGTGTCCTTCTTTGCCTCTATAACTCAAGGTTTCATCTCAGGCTTTTCCAAGGATGACCAAAGTCAATCAACTGAATAAAGGTGCTAGATATCCTACTATCTTTACATCAGTGGGTGGATATACCAAATGCATTTGGAGCAGCTTTCTGCTACAATCTACCAAAACACTGATGTATGTCTTGAAAAGAGGCTGAATTGCTCATCTGGATAGCTGTCAGACCCAAAGCCTGTGGCCCTCGTCAGGATGAGGGGTATATGCAAATTCTAGAGGATCTGAGAAGTAATATGGGTTGTGTGAAGATCATTCCAACCTCTCTTGAAAGGCACAACTCCTTAGGTCTTATCAAACTGTACTGTAGCAATGTATTGCATAATACAGGCAAGGAAAAATAGATTTTATAGACATGGACATTAGGGCTGGAAGGGACCTTGAAAGGTCATTGAATCCAGCCCCCTTCTCTGGACTCTCTCAAGCTTCTCCACATCCTTTTTGAATTGCAAAGCCTGAAACTGGACGAACTACTTCATCTGCGGCCTCACCAAGGCCAAGTGCAACGGGAGAATGACATCCTGTTTTTGCTTGAGAAGCATCTATGGATGCAAGCCATCTTTTTGCTCGCTTTACTGGCTGTAGCATCACACTGCAGGTTCATGTTCATCTTGTGGTCAATCCTGACCCCCAAGTCCCTCTCATCCGTAGCGCTAGTCAGCGTAGCACTGCCAAGCCTGTAGACATGCTGCAGGTTTTTCCTCCCAGGGTGGAGAACCTTGCATTTTTCAGTATTAAACACCATCAGGTTCTCGTCCACTCATTTCCTGAGTCTGTCAAGGTCAGCCTGGATTACCCCCCTGTCCTCAGGTGGGGATGCTTTACCCCAAAGTTTGGTATCATCGGTGAACTTGGTCAGTCTGCTTCTGACTCCAATGTCCACATCATTAATGAAGATGTTGAACAATATAGGTCCAAGGACAGCCTTGAGGGACCCCACTGGTCACAGGGCACCATGACGATTGACTTCCATCAGCTACCACCCTCTGGGTCTGACCACAGAGCCAGTTCCCCAGCCAGCGGATCATGGTGAACCCAAGGCCGCAGTTGGCCAATTTTGCCAAAAGGTGATCATGGGATACCAGATCAAAGACTTTTTTAAAGTTGAGTATATGATATCCAGTCTCTTCCCCCTCGTCCAGGTGATAGGTCACCTGGTTGTAAAAGGAAATGAGATTGGTTAAGCACAACCTACCCGCAACAAACCCAAGCTGGCTGTCCCTCAGGGTGCTGCCATCAGCCAGTCCGTTAAGAATGGCCTCCTTGATGATTTTTTCTAAGACCTTCCCTAGGATAGAGGCCAGGCTGATAGGCCTGTAGTTTGCCGGATCCACTTTCCTCCCTTTCTTGAAGATAGGCACCACATTGGCCTTCTTCCAATCTTCAGGCACTT